ATTTTTTGCCTGCTGAGCTCTGCCTTTGACAGGTTATTGATCTTGCAGAGAAACCTTAGCAAAGACAAAAGCAAACCTTTGATGTTGGTGCCTTAAAATATTTTTAAGCTTTCATATAATGTCACAGGAGCTCAGCAGATACAACCACATTAATTCAATTGAAGATCAGGTGGAATACCCCTGGACAATATGAAGATCACTGGATGATTTGTGTGGGCAACTGATTCAAGCTCAAGCACTATTTATTCAAAACCACTCATTTAAAATATGTCAGATCAACCACTGTTGTAAAGTGCCTGTTTCTCTCCACTGAATATAAATAGAGCCTGGGATAAGCAGCTGCCTAGAAGTAATGTAAAATGAAATTATGCCAATCCAACTCAACTCCTTATGCTTTTGCTATTCTTATCCTTGCTATGGGATGAAATCACTTTATAGGCAAAGCCAAGTCACTTCACTTTTCTCTCTTAGGTAGCTGATCTGGAATTGGGAAGCATTAAGTATTCTTTGTCCTGCAGAAGCCTGTGGGATGAAGCCAGTAACAGGAGCTTTGTGCATAATAAGCCAAGGACTGCACTCATGTCCTGGTGCAGCAACAGCTGTGGGACATAGCCCTTTGAGAAAGTGCAAAAACCAAGTCTTAAAAGAGCTGCATACATTATTCATAGATTCTAAAGCCAGAAGGAGATGTGAGTGATTTTTCTAATCCTACTTTATGCATTAAAAAGGCTATGGAGTTCTCCTGACTTGATGACTTTCTTTACATCTCAGCCATCATCTCCTGGTCTGATTCTTTTTTCCAGTATGTCCCAGCCAGCCCAAGATGCTCTGCTTCCCTCTAGTCCATTTACTAGCCCTTTTGAAAAAAAACCAAGACTCTAGTTTGCAGAAGAAAGACAGATCAAATTTTGTTGTTGCTTTTTTCCACCCTCCTTCTGTTGGAATGAGTTTCTCTTTGCTTTTCAGACAAACTTTCTTTTCAAATTTTTCTCCCTCTTCCTCATGAACTGCTAAAGTGTAGTAGTCACTGACGCTGGGTGTTGCAAAGATGAAACCAAGAGGAAATTGTCTCTTTAATGCCTATTTCACCAACTTCTCAGAGTTGGCTGTTGCTGAAAGCTGGGACTCAGTACTTGGGCAGTGTCAATGGATCTCTTTCTTTACACATCAGGGTGTGCATGGTGATCACATGTCTGGGTGTCAGGTCTGGCATTTTTGACTACCAGGGATTTGACAAACATTTTAAATTCATTTATTAAATGTTAGCAAAGTGTAATTTTGTGAGTGAATGTCAGGTCTGGAGTTTGGACCAGTTTAAACTTGGGACCTTCCTTAAGAATCCAGACAAGTTTGGATCTGGGTTTGCTATTTGCAGAGCAGCCATTTATAAGGAGAGAAAATAAAATTCCCAGGTCTGAACTTGGTTCTGCAGTTAGTCCAGGTAGAATTTGAGATCAGTGTTTCTGGAGACTTGGCTGAGCCTTGGGACAGATTTGCTGTAAATAACAGTTATTACTGCCAAATGGGCTAAGGCAGCCAACCATTAGCCACAGAAATCTTCTGTTCCCTCATGGTTTCCCAAAAATCAAGGTGTCTCTGCATTCTCAGCTGTTCCACTGGGAAAAGTTAAGACTCTCAAGATAGGATTTATTTAATCTAACTCAGAGGAGAGATCTTTTTGCCCAAACAGAGGTACATAGTACCTTTCCAGATGCTCTGTCAGCCCCACATGGGTCTGGCAGAGAGGCTGCAGATCCTCTACAAAGCCCATGCCGCTCTGAAGCAGTAGCTTGAGGTCAGGCAGGTTATACCATGGCACCAAAAATGGCTCTCAGTGACTGTCTTTAGGCAACTAAATGCAGCCCTGTAATACAGCTCTGTAATATATGCCCTGCAGTATAAGCCACATAAAGGGGCTTTTCAAAGCGAGGAGAGTCATCTAAGGCTGCAGCAAACATTTCAAATAGACAGGAGGAACTAAAATGTAAAAGGAGCTCTTTCTCTCCATCAGTTATTAGAGGAGCTGGTGGTAATTAGCTCAGGGGTGGGCATCTACCTTAGGGCTGTCTGCAGGACTACTCAGTTTTAGTGCAGACATGAGACCTAAAGCATCCCCTCCAGTGTTTGAAAGATTGCACAGCAAAGGAGATTTCTGGAAGAGAGAAGAAAAACAGTATAATCACCAGATGTTTGCAAGGCCATCCAACTTGTTGACAAGTACACGACTACAAACATTAATGAAAGAGGCAGGGTGCCAGTCACTCTGAAATGCAGACGTGGGGTTACTGAGTTATGTCCTCAGGTGGATTTTAGTGTCTGTCTTCAGACCCACAGGCTTGAACACTGCCCAGGGGACTAAGGATATGCAGGATTCGCAACGCAAGAACTAGGAAGAAGATTCAGGGTGAGTGGCTGATGCCCCTGTTCTGACCTCAGTGGTCTTCTCTCCTCAAAAAGATTATAGAAGTAATGTCACCAGCCAGCTTTTTCCTGACACCTGGGCACCTTGTTAAATGTAAGCACCAACCTATCTGCCTTTCTGTTGCTGCCGTGGACAGTTGTGGTCTCTCTTACCAACCCTGTGTCGCGCTACCAGTGTCGCCCATAGGCCTTAACTGGGCAAAAGAACCTCAAATGCTACCGTGGTCTGTGCTTTAGTGGCTGAATTGTCTCCCTGAATATGGCCCCCATTGGGATGCTTAGCTTTTGGTGGCACCCAGCACAAGTGACCTTCAGCTGATCCAGTCAGTATTACAGCTGCAAACGAGATGAGCGAGCCAGCTCTCACTAGTGATCAGTGCAAGCACACATGAAAATCTAGGTGCAAAGTATTAATACATCCTTTCCGTATGTCATCCTTGTTTTGTTTCTGCAGCTTTCGGATAGGAGGAGCTCAGAGCAAAGAGTGGGCGAAAGAGAAATTGATACATATAGAATAAGATTGTTTCTAGAGAAGTAATTCCCCAAATTTTCAGCTAGGAATCCTCCTCCTGGACTGATGAATCACGCTTCTGAAATTTGATTTCAGAGAAGATCAAGATCCCTAATTTTTCTGATGAAGCCTATGGCAATCTGAATTTCCAGTTCACTGCTGTCACATCAAAGTAGGACTCATGAAACTTGAAATGCTTTCTCCAGTCCAGTTCATCATGTTAATCCCACGTGATTAGTCCTACTTATATTTGGAACTTGCTCTTGCCTAAGAGTCTACAATTCCATCTGGCACCTTCCATTGCAATTGCAAAGGCGGCAAGGTTTGGACTGGTGCCTTTTTTGCGTCTTTGGTAGAACTAACCCAAAGCTGGCTCTGAGCTCAGGGTTTGACAGCAGAATTTCAGAGGCAGAAGTTTTCTTCCTGCCTCTCAGCGGAGACTGCCCCAACATCTCCCTTTCTGTTACTGAGAAATGGTGCAGTCGCCGCTGTGAGGAGTTTAGGATTCAAGTCAAACCAGTGATATGAAGCTGGTTTTGTCTCTGATAAATAAATGACGACCAGCTGACTTCAGGCTCTTAAACATGACAAAGACAACTCAAGCAAGAATAAATATACAAACTGCACTGTTTTATTTAGTTCTTATGCTCCCTAAGGCCCTGCTCTGCTAAGAAAATAATTTCAAAAATGTCACATGTTAACTCCTGGAGCAGCATTTCTGTATCTCACGTATTAAGTGTTTATGTACATGATTCCCAAGGCTGCCAGTCTCCCAGTGGCTGCTCAGGTGCTTATTGGACCATTTGTTATGAACAATGTGACAGTATCCACAGGGAATAATGTGCTGGATGCCAAGATACTGTAATCACTGAAATATACCACATCGTATGGGGAAAAAAAATAAAAAAAGAGCATATTTTGAGAACACTTTTAAATCGGCAGCTCTGCTAAGGCGTTCGTAAATAGTTGGAAGTCAATCATAGAATTGTTCCATTCATAGACTGCAAAATGCCAGGAGCCCCGGGACTCTGGAAATGTGTATGAGATAAATATCTTCTCACAAGCTTAGGTTGTGACCTCAGCAGTGCCGAGATAACAGTTCTGTCATTCTGACAGTGTACATCGTCAACAAGTTCGAGATACATCAGTACGTTGCAAGCTACCCTACTTTATGTGCTGAAAGCAACCCAGAATTTGCTCCTAGGTGCCAAATCCTTCTACTGATCACAGTCTACAAAATAGAATCTTCTTTTCAGGGCTTTTTTTTCCTCTCTTTTTTTTCCTGTTTACACTGAGATGAAACTTATGTAAGAAACATGCTGGCAGATGCTACAACATCAGTAATTAGAGCAAATCTCAATTCTCAGTGGTGATATTGCAACAGAAATAATAATTACCTAGCTCAGCAGATTAACAAGGGAGGTAAATCCATCAGCTCATCTTTAAAGGCAGTGAAAAAAAATCTATTAGACATTTTTTAGGTATGATTCACCTGCTCATTTTTTAATTTCTCTTATGGAGTGCAATGTAAAGCCCCCACCAAATGCAAAGCTCACGTTCAGATCTCTGCAATGCAGCCTTGGACTTTGGGTCTGGGAAGTTCTAACTGACCCCTACAGCCTGCTGCGGAACACGAGGATGGTTTCAAGCTCCTGTCACATCAACACAGCAAATACTCTGTGCAGGGAGCCTTGGATCAGCTCAGCCAGAGATGGATGCAAATAGCCAAACAAATCCCACCCTTAGTTGCTTGTGGCACCCAGGAAAGAAGTAAAAGGGCACCCAGGAAAGGAGTAAAAGGAAGTAAAAACAAGGTCTTTGCTGAGACTGTTAATTTTGTACTCCATTTTCTTTGCACTTTTGAAAACATTACGAGCTGTTGGGTATTTGTTGCATAATCTGATATTTCTAGCAAACTTCTGATCTGTTATAGTCTCTGGTAAAACCAAGAGGCTGTTTTCAATGAGACAGGAACTGCAAAAATGCCTATTTTAAGGTGTATCACAACCTTTAAGCCATTGTTTGAATCACTGATCGAATTTTTTCTACTTTCTTCCTTCTTTTCCAGATAAATTTTGTATTTCTGTTTAACATAGTTAGGATTTTAATGACAAAACTGAGAGCTTCGACCACTTCAGAAACAATACAGTACAGGTAAGTCAGCTGGTGCTTTTCTGTTTCTGAAAAAAACAACTAACAAAACAACAACAAAGAACTACCTTGCCTGCCCTGTCCTTGTCCCATCTTTGTCTTTCCAGATGCCACTGTTGAACTCAGCGGGTGTCGTTCTTGCCCCTTGAGCTCATACAGTTAGGTACACAGTATTTATTTTTGCAGGCTATCTGTAAAAGCCTGCCTGCATTTTTATTTTTTTTTGTTCCACCCCATTTCAATGTCCAAGCAATGCAAGCAGCCTGGGCTCACGGGCACAGACACGTGCACTGCCGCAGCCGCCGGCCTCTCTACCTCCTCCAGGCTTGCACATGCCGCAACCCAGATGTGACATTTCCCCCTTCCAATGAAATCTGAAGGGTTCAATTTCGAGTAAGGATAGGTGCTTCATCAATTTCTCTATGTACACAAGCATATGTGTGATATAAATATATAACAACTCCTTTTCACTGGTGACTAGACTATTCAGCTAATCTGGAGAATCAGAGGGAAAACTGTTCAGTCCCTGCTACATTGATTCTCTGTCCCAGTCTCCAGCTTTGTAGATGCAGAACAATACAATATCAAGACTTCCCAATAAGTCATGTGCATATGCATATTAAGATCTTTGTTCATACTAATTTCCTAGTAGAGCCAGAAATAAAAGAAGAACAGAGCCTGAGTGAAAACACTGATTCAAATCTCAGTATATTTTTCTCCCTGCCGCAGTCTTCAGTAGAGATATTAGATTCTGAGGCAATCTAAAGCAACTGCCTTTGTCCTTGAACAGATGATGGTGATCTTATCCTCGCTACAAGCTCTGTGAGGGAATCTTATTTTTCACAGCCTAAATAGAACCCCTTATAATGCTGGGAAAGCTTGGGGCAAGCCTTGCTGCTCCAAAGCTGAGTAGTCCAAATGTTTGTTAAGCAATTATTAAACGATGTGGCAGCTACTTTATTAAGACTGCCACTCTGGCAATGGTTTTGTGCTCCTCTACCTGCCTGTCTTTATCCACCTCTTAGGGCGTTATACCGAGATTTATATAGACTTAGCAAAATTGCAGTCTTCTGTGTTTGTACAATATCTAACATACTGAGTGCTGCTCTGCAACCAACATCCCAAGACACTATTATAGCACGAATAATAAAGATTAGCCCCTAATAATTCTGTTTATAATCACTTATCCTTGTGCACCATCTGCTTGCTTGGTATTTATAAGGCAGCTCTCAGCAATTGTGTTGGGTGTGCAGGTGTTGCAGAGGGAATGCAAGCATTTATACTCCAGACAGAATCAAAAGATGAGAGTGGAGCAG